AATCATTACAGTATGTAGATCTCAGGGAGAGTCACATRGGTGGGGAAAAAAGCAGTGAAGCAGCTTTTATTCTGCTGTTCTCAAGGAACAGCCAACTGAGTAGAAGAATTTTAAGCATCTCAGTCGTCTCAAAAATTTAAGTATCAGGTCCTCAYAAGTTTAAGTGTACCTTAAAGTGATAGTATGCACGCCAAATTCCCTCCTTTAATTGTTCTCTTATTGCAAATGGAATAGAAATTATCCTAAAAGACCTATGTTTCTGTTGGCCCAGTTTCTGTTACACATTTTGTCTCTGCTTGTTATTCATTCTTCACCCCAAGAACRTCTTYCATTGATTTTGCCAGCATCTTGCTYGTTCATGTACCTGSTTGTGCTTCCACAGAGGTTGTTACTTTTRCACCACTTTATAAGAAATGTTGTATTCATCTGAAGTATAAACAAGGTCCCTTTGTGAAATACATTATTTTGGTTCCCAACTGCTTTTTTGATCCTGCGTTTGACTGCACAGGCATGTTGGGGTTCAAAACACGTCATTCTTTGTAATCTGCTCGGTACTGAGCACGTGGTCAGTGCATGGTAAATTTAAAAAATAAAGTTATATTGCTTTGAGGATAAATGAGAGTGTTCCTTGGCTTATATACGGAGCTGGGACTGCTGTTGGGTCCCAGAAGTGTGGGCTGAACTGCAGCCAGTGTCTTGCTGTTCATTCCCCATTGAAGGCCCCCTTTGGGCTCCACAGCTTTTCATGACCCTGGCCTTCTTTGGGCTACTGAACTGGTGGCATTAAGTCCTGKATTTTAATTTTCACCAAGTCTTAGAAGCTTCAGCATTTTCTTGTTACCCACTCACAATCCACCCACCCACCCAGCTTCCAGCTGCTGGGCCAAGAGATGAGAAGCATCTCTTACTCTTTTCCTGGCCCTCACATTCCATTCCCAAAGACATTTCTGGGTCTTCTCCAAAAGTCACTTCTGCTCAGCTCTTCTGGAGTCTTCTTGAGGTAGCTCACATCCCTTCCTGCAGCTGCTTCACTCTGTGTATTCTGCAGTCTTTTAATCCAGTCTTTGYCTGTCAGTGTCTCTGTCACTTATGTAGGGCTAAAGCATTTTACACKGTGTTTGTCACAGGCGGTGAATACATATATGGTCATTGACAGTAGCTCAGCAGAAACACAATAACTTGTTAAGCCACAGTAACTCAATCGTGTGTCTGAGCTGCAGCTGGAAGGAGCTGTTTGGGCTGTTAACCCTTTCATGGCTGCTGCACTCTAGGTGTGTGCATCTTTTCATGTGTTACTAGATGAGAAGTGACCATGTGTGATTTGTGCAGATATGTCAGATGGGAAGATTATTTGAAGGATGAATGAGAGCATTTCTTGGTTATAGCTCTGGGGGTGTGCTATGGAGCAGTACATGAGGTGTACAGAAGTGTTTTCAAAGCACTGTGTCCCACTTCCAGAAGTTCAGTATGGATATGGATTGTGTCTTCATTTGCCTTCCACAAATGCAAATTACTTCTAAAATATTAACTGGAGTTCTATGAAGGTTATATATTTTACCGAACTATATTTTTTCTGAAATTATTTGTTTCAAGGCTGGAGTAGGATACATGTTTGGATGCTATTGAGAAAAAGGATGGGTTGCAGGAAAAAAAGAAAGAGCATTTCTTGATATGGCACTTTTGTTGCCTGTCCTGGCTGCCTGTGTGCCAAGACTCTGTTTTTACAGAAACACAGCTAAGGGAAGTTGCTGYAGTTGTGCAGCAGTTTAACTGGAGAGCACAGTGTTCAGGTGGCAGAAGAGAGGAAAAAGAATTCATATGGGATACTCAAAAGGAAATATATCTAGCTTCCCTTTATTCTGTGTGAGTTTTTCTTKTCYCTTTCCCTCATCCAGAAGTGTCACACTAAACTGTTCAGATGGTGATCTGTACCTCTCCTCAAATCTGGTTTCACTGCCAGCATGACAGTGCTGAGGGGCATTTTATCTTTCTTCACAAATTTGCACCAGTTGTTTAACCAAACCCACCTGGTGCTGCAAGTTGGGGACTGTCTTGTAATAATTGTTCAATGACCTGTTTGAAGTTATAGTTGTGTTAATTTGGAAGGYTTTTTGGGTTTTAGGTTGGTTGCAGTTTGGGGTTTGTTTTTGTTTTTGGGTTTGGGGTTTTTTTTGGATGGGAATAAAGCTTTTGCTATTTCATATAGGGAGAATTTCAAATGGAAGGTGCAGAAATGGTGAATTACTTGGGTGAGGTATAGAGAAGCCTGCTTAGGAGAGTTGGCAGAGCATTGAAGAAGTTATGGAAGGAGCAGCACACTTTTTTTCTTTTTTTTTTTCTCAATAAAGACTTGTGGGGCACTTAGTGGTATGTGCTATGGAAAACATGATGCTGAAAGACGTGTGGAAACATAAAACTTCACAAAAATGTGAGAAACTTCAATGGTGAAAAACATATGAGAAGGCATAGAAGGACAGGTAAATAGAAAGAAAGATTTGTTTCCATACACTTGAACATTTGGATTGAAATGGAAAAGAGATCACCAAGTAAATTTTATAGATTTGTGTGGAAGAGTAAAAAGAAAACAAGAAAAATTAATGCAATTATAATAGATGTATTGAAAAGATGAAACATTAATCATAAACAATTTCACATAGCCTGGTATTGACTGGTCCATATAATATAGAATGGAAATAATTGGTCTTGAGAAGATTTGACTTAATACCGGCAGCAATTGAAGATTGCATTCAGAAGGAGAAGCTGAAGAAGCCAGGCTTATTCACAGGAACAAAAGAAAATTGTGGTGACCTAATTCCAGCTTTTGTTGTGCGGAATATACCAGTATTGATAGCAGGACAAATTACCCTTTCTGTCAGACAAGAAAGCAAGATTAGCGTGATGCTGCTGTGCTGCACTCCTCTAGCTTTCCAAGTGCTCTCAAATACCTGAGAGAGCAGTGATGTACTAGTCCAGAGAACATGAAGGCTCATCATTTTCTGACAAGCTGCTGTGACTCATCTCGGCTCTGTGCCATGCCTTCTGCACTGCCATGGGACCAGACCATTCCTGGAAATTCAGTGTCCTCCCATTCTTCTGCCTGTGTACTGTGTGTTTATGTACCCATGTGTGCTGTAGGACCTGTATCTCATTCCATATATTCCTGCAATGAATTCTGTGCTTAGGGTTTTTTGGTCACTAATTGAGGGTGAAGCACTCCACAGTTTCCCAGGTTAAACAAACCAAGTGACTGCAGCTGCCCTTTCCTCAAGGCCTTTCATCATCTTGGTTTCCCTCCTCTGGATACTCTCCAGTGCTTTTTTATCCTTTTGGCATTGAGCACCCAAAGCTGCATTGGTATCCAAGGCGGGGCACACAGGATTTCAGTATCAGAGAGGAGAAAGGTCATCTGCTTCAGTGAGGGAAGGCACAGTGAATAGTGGGAACCACCACCCCACAACAACTGATTTGTCTGTGCAGGGTGATCCTGCTGTAAAAAGTGATTACTTTGTAAGTGTTGAAAACCAGCATCACTTCWAGAGAAGTCCTAGCACTGTTAATGGAGATGTGGAACTGGAAAGCATGAGTGATATATATTRATAAATTCAAGTATATGTGTAGAAAGGCATGTTGTTCTCTTTGGAATTATTTGTGAACCTTTTTATCTACAAATTATTTCTAAAGGGTTAGCATTTATTTTGGTGATATAATTCTAATGAAACAAAAAAAGTGATATGAATCCCATTCTTCACTTAATAGCCTGTCTGTCAGATGAAAGCTCCCAGTGTGCTGATCTMTTTCTTTAGGGAACATTTCTCTCAGTGCCTTTTAAAGACTTTCTCCAGAGCACCTTCATTTTTCAATGTGCAGAGTCCTGAGGCCATTGAGCCGTGCTGGGATAACCATGTCTGCTGGACTCTTATCCCTTACACTTCTGTGGTACAAAGATACTGTTCTTTCCATGCCAGTGTTACACTTCTAGTTACAGCCAAAAGCAAATGTTGGCTTCTGTCAGGCATTGTATCTCTGTATCTCTTCTGTTTTTTGTTTCTTCCTCTGTGCTCCTCTATTTTCTGTAAATGCTATTTATTGCATACCATGGTCAGCATTTTGGCAGATCCATCTCACTGCACTTAATTGCACTGTGCTGAAGAGTAGCTGAGCAGTTAACAGAAGAGCTCCCAGACTCTTGCTGTACATTTTTTTTCTCCAAGAGGAATGTTGAATCATTGACTATCATCTTAGCTTGAAATTTACCTGAATATGTTTTACTATTCCACAGAGATTACACAATGGCCCTGATTAGCAGCAGCATTTTGTAATACCACTTAGGGCTTTATCACAGTGGAATACTGCCAGTAACAGTCTTTAATTCACTTAYATGTACCAATTCATTTCTGTCAAATTTCTACTAATTTGTTTGCTGGTTTACTTTGTCCCTCTCTCCTGTATAATAAGGCATGATTTTCACATTTATGTGGCCAAAACAAAATTTTTTAAAACTTAAATCATCAGCAAATTAATTGTGGTCCTTTGATGTGAGAGAAATGAGCCATCTCTCCATTTTTGTTTGCATTTAATCCACTTTTCACAAGTTAATGCATTTAGGAAAATCTAGGTGGGCCAAGTAAGTGAGGRTCAGTAACAATTCTACTGGCTAATTTAGATAAAAAGTTTCAGGATTGGGTTATGTATATTCAACTGCAATGTGGAAGGTAGGTGTAGAATTGAACCTGTGTGTTCATGCATCCACACTTGTGAAAGGACACACTATATTTGCCATTATTTTTTTTTTTATCAGAATGGTGACCAACCTTGGTCATTCAGACCAAAGAGATAAAGAACAATATTGCTGCATGTACCATTCTGTTTTATCTGGCACCAGTTTCCCTGGTACTGTAAGCTCTAAATGGTTGGGTTCAGGATTGGTGTTTCAAATTTGTGTGATGGTTACTGTTAAAGCAGATCTGACTGTTTATTTGTTCTTTATTTTTCATGGTTAGGATTGGTGCAAAGCATCAGGAGTTRCAGCAAAAGCAACAGAGAGGCCTGAGTGATTATTCTACTGGTCCTGGAGGACCTGACATTGATGATGATGAGGTGGATCCAAATTATGCCAGAGTGAACCACTTCAGAGAGGCTTATCCACCAGCAAGCATCTACAGACCGTCATCACCACCACTGGGAGAARCCTTTGTTTATTTGCGGGATTCTTCTTCAGCACCAATGGAGAGGGAGCACTTGGAAGGACTGTATGCAAAAATAAACAAGCAGCACTATCCACAGACTTCTGGTGACAGGTAATGTTGCCCCATGGCATTACAAAAAATGATACATGGTGGGGAGGAAACCTGAGCCTAGGCAAGGGGTCAGACATGGGACTGTTCAAATGCCCCAAACCCCTGTATTTACTGACTAGTTCCTCTAACCCAAAAGCAAGATTTGCTGCAGCAGTAACCCCAGAGCATCTGAGCAAGACAGCAGTCAAACAGAAATCATTAGAGAAGTCCAATTCCTGCACTGCTGAGAGAGTGCWTTTTTCCTCTTTCAATTGGGAAAAGTTCTTGCCCTGCAGCAAAAACAATCTCAGTTTTCAGATCCCTTTCGATCCAGCAGATCATCAAATGCCTGTTAGTAACAGATTTTGTATGCTAGCATGATATAATGTATATGTTTATGGTTTAGATTTTCCCAGCTGTGTGATATTACACACTTTCAATTAGTTTGTGGAGARGACTGGGAATCATGGCATTTTTATGCAGACTGTGAAGTGTGGCTTCATAAGAATGATTGCCTTTTACAGCCTTTCCAATAACTAAGTGGGAAGGAAAGAACTATTTTTAATCCTTACTGTCAACCTTCCAGCATTAAAGAAAGATGGTCAAGTTTTTCCTGGGTTTGAAGGGAAAACAAAAATTCCTTTCAGTTGGTGGTACCCACCATTATGATGATGCTAAAAATGGTTGCTTCTGGCATGTGGGGCCAAAAAAAGTGAGACATTATTACKATTGTGGCATTTGTATATCAGTGCTGGCTTTTTCAAACCAAACTACAAATGTGCGGGCAAGACATATGAGTCTGTGAAAAGAAGAACTGACAGAGGACAGACGTGGGGGACTTAATGAACTGTGCATGCTTTGAGTTCATATTGTAATCTGTGGTGTCTCCTCATAACCTCAATATGCGCTGTGTAATACCRCACTCGTTAATTTTGGACAGATATGTCAGCACAGATACAGGAGTGTTTCCAGTTTGTGGCATCGTAGTACTTTAAAAATGTCTACTGAGTCATTGTTATAAATACTAACAAAACGCTTCTGACATAAATCTAAGTTCATAGCAGGGGGAACGGGCCAAGTATCTCTCTCTTTTTCACCTAAATACAGTATGGTAGAGTTCTTTCCAAACATAATGACAGTGCTTCTTTTTCTTCCATATTATTAACTCTTCCCCTACTGAATGAAATAAGAGGTRGTGATCCCAGCTTTTTTCCAGCTAGTGGGTTTCACTTTACTGGAAAAGTCTTGAGGCAATTAACATTGAAGTCACACAAAAGTTGCATGTAGTAAARGGATCAGAAACTGAATTCATGAAGATGTCTAAATTAAAGTGTGTGTATCTTTCAAATATGAACATATACMTATGCACCTCACCTGGACTAAGACATTGTTATAAAAGTTGCTTCATAATTTCAGTTTTAACAGGATTTTATAGCTTTACATTTTTAATATGTCATCACTTTTGAAGATTGTCTTTCCATGAAGAAAAAAGAAATGYYTTTTTCATTCTGCTACTTTTAGTGGATTGATTGTTTTGGAGCTTTGACTACAGTGAATGAACTCTTGACTTGCTATGGGGACAAGATTAAGTCCCAACCAAGTTTGGATTTGGTATTGGGATCCTGAATTTCAGTGTGGATTCAGCTGTAATTGCATGATAACATGATAACTCATTGAAAAACTAAAACCAAAACATCAAGCAGGCAGGAAAAGTTACCTTATAGCTGAGCCCATGATCAGAAGTCACGCTGAGAGGCTATTCCATCTGTGCTGAACAACCAACAGTCCACAACTTTGTTTTGTTGAATTTCTCAGGCTTGTAGAGGTTTTTTAACCACATTAGGAAAAATAGGAAATCTGAGATTCTTATTAGGCTGCCTTTGTTCTTTTTTTTAAATCTTTCTTTTCTTTGAGAGACAAAATGGTGTTGTTATTCACCAGCAGAAATGTGCCAAACATGAATAATTCTATGTGAATTTATGCAGTGGGTCGTGAGGTCTCAGCCAGCAGTTGTTGAATAAAGTGGCAACTTCAGGCAAGGAAATCTTTATGTGCTAGAAGGAGAGTATTGAAAGGAGAAAGATGAGGATAGAAAAATCTCTGATAACGTGTTAATTAAGAAAACAATCTGCTTCCAAGGGTCAAGTATGAAAACTACCTTGTCTGTCTCAAAATTATGGGAAAGGGTTATAATGTACGTTTATAAGCCAAACCAGTTATTTTGTGTTTATGAGGCTGAACATGTTATCAACACACACTGGTGGTGTAAATACTTATGCTTTGCTCTTGCTAGCACACACATGCTTTCTCTCAAAGTTTTACCATTAATTTTACTATAGATGGATGGGTTTTTGTCGCTGTTGCAATGGACAGCGACACGAAGTAACAGACACAGATAGACAAATACCACAGCTACAACTACARCAACTACAACTAACTTTATTACRGGGGTGAGCCCCTTTTGTCTATTTAGCAACAACTGTATACATTTGTGGCAAATATCTATTGGCTAAGGCAKCCGCCTTTCTACTCATCAGCATATGATTGGTTGGTTATTTCYTCAGTCTTTTGGGCATCTGTTTATCGGTTCAACATTCCACTCTGCCTTTCCCAGAGGCAGGCAAGGTCGCATTGTTTTTATGGTAGCATACTCCTCCATGCAGGCTGTTAAACTCCCTTCTGTTTCCCAGGTCTCAGGGGTACACTGTAATCGGTCCAATTTTAGATTCAGGACTTGCAAGGTCACAATGCCAGCTTTYGGCCTCTACAGGTCCCCTTTTTTGTTTTTGAACCAGAAATGCTGCATTCACRGTCCTCTGCAGGGCCCTTTGCAGAAAAGACATCAAACACGGCACCAACAGCAACATTAACACTATCACAAGCAAGATGACTCCAGCCATCTTCAGTGTATCCCTGAGCCACCCTRAAAAACCCCATTTRTCAAACAGCCCATCAATCCAGCTATSACTCTTTTGTAGCATCCTCAGGCCRTCCTGTAATTCTTGTATGTTTGCAAAAATTGATCTCGAATGGTCTGATAAGTTCATGCAACACAGACCTTCAAAATCCTCACATCCATGGCCATGTGCTAAAAGCAAAAAATCRATAGCTGCTCGATTCTGCAAGGTAGCATGACGYACRGAGTTAACATCAGCTAGTAATCCTGCTATAGCTGCCAAAGTGGCATTAGWATACYTAGCAAGCCAGCAGCCCAKCTTATCAAGCTGCCTCAAAGCGTGTGCTGTASCCACYGGAGCAARAAGAGAAGCCATCACCCATGTGCAAAGACCCCAAAATTCCAGGTTGTCCACACAATCAGGTTTGAACCCCGAGAGTGATCTGCGCTGCCGGTGCGTTGATCGCCTGATGTTGTGCGCCAATGTGATATTAGGGAGCATCATTGTTAATTGCCCAAAGGTGCAAGGCCCTCCCACCATGTCGGAGGGGAGRCCTGCCCATGCYCKATCTCCACATAACAGAAACACTCCRGRAGGCAGCCGTCRCGGCACGGCGTTGTTCTGAAACCCCACACCCAGGCTCTTATTGCACCAGGTGGACAAATTACCATACCAAGCTTRCAAAGRCAAAACATTCAGTTTGGGGCCATCATAGCRTCYCCYGTGCCAAGCACGGGATATATTAAAGGTCACACAAGCAAGTGTGTGAAGAGAACCCAGTAAATCTAGTTCCTGTGGTTCATTAGGGTAGKTTGGTGTCAACCTTGTTTCCCCTTGTCCCTTTGTTCTATTCGCTAGTGCCCGTATTAATGTCTCATTTTRCAATGGCACTCCTACCAAGCATGTCTGAAAAGGAGAGCGAGGCGTAGCAAGYRACACACACATAGATGATTGATTCAAAGCATGAGCTAGAGTCACCCAAATATTCCCTTGAGGCAGCRAAGGCATCAGTGYCGYTCCCTTCCCGCYACAACTCCAGGCGGCGATGGAGGGGATGGTGAAGATCRTCAAAAGAACTCTAACCYRTGCCATCATCGTTYCTGCRTTGGTTCTGCTTCAAATCAGGTCTCACACACYGTGCTGGCACCCAGCRAGGTCMRGTATCTGTGGAGACACAAGCATACCCACRYCCCCAAGTGATGAGGTCCCAGGGACCTTCCCARTTRTTGGTTATGAGGTCTCTTACCCAAAACTTTCCTCGGGGAAGGGTCACTGCTGCCTCCGACTGCAAAGACAAAAAATGCTTCACAAAAACTGGAATGTTAGAATCAGAAGGCACTGTAAGGTGATTGATTGTATCCAAGGCCTTTTGTAGCCTGGCATGSRGGGGTTCCCCTGACAGGTTTTTCTCCCACCCGTGACTCTCAAATTGTAATATAGTATGTGGAGACTTGATCAGTGACTAAAGGAAATGGGGTTAGCAATGGAAGGAGGATTTGCATGCAGAGAGAATAGATTATTTGATTTCACTCTGAAAATTGCATTTATGTATCATTATGATTGAGAATTAGAACTCATTGTTTGAAACAAGAAGTTCATTTTTATTTTATGTTGTTTTTGCAGAATAATGTATTACCATAATTAATGCCTTATTTTAATGGGAGGCCATTTATAAAGTATGRAGCTTAGTGGTCAGGAAAGAGCTGTTCACAATTTGCATACACTTACTTTCCCTTTTCTCATCATCAGAATCCATTGAGTATTCCTGGTTTTTTTCACAGTAGATTCCCAGTTTAAGCTGAGAATGTCCCTCAGTGTGCAGGAAAGCAATGGGCTGCACATGTATGGGGTCTGGTGCTTCAATCATCATGAAGTACGTTTGCAGCCCCTTACACTGTTCCTCAGGGCACACAGACCTGCTSCACACTGCTGTTTGTGTACTATCCCATTTACCTCCTCTTGCATCTGGCATCTCAGGGGCTTTTTGCTTTGGGTTTTTGGGGGGTTTGCTTTGTGTCTTATTTACAACTGTTGTGTAATGTTCTCCTGCACTGCTTCACAATTGTTGATTTTCATTCCAACGATGACTATATTCAGTGAAATAGAAGTAATTTTTTGTGTATA